CCCGATGCCCCCTCCCAGCTCCCGGCCATGCTGAGCACTCGGGACCAGAGGCCCTGGCTGCTCTTCCTGCTGCACAACGTGGGCCTGCTGGGCGGCTGGGCCATCCTGCTGCTGCTGTCGCTGTACGAGGACCACATCGCCCTCTGACGCCTCCTCCCCACTCTCCAGCCTGGAGCCTGGCTCCTGGCCCCGCGCCGGCTCCGTCCCTGGACCTACAGCCGGGGACCTGGAGGGCCCAGGCCGCTGAGCACCCCCTTCCCCATCCCCCGGCAACCTGGTTCCCAGACATTCCTGGGCCGGCCGCCGCGGCTCCGTGGTAGATCCTGGGCTATGAACCAGGAGGTCACGGTTCGATTCCCAGTCACAGGCCCGGGTTGTGGGCTCCATCCCGTGTGGGGCGTGCAGGAGGCAGCCGATCCATGATTCTCAATCATCATTGCTGTTTCTGCCTCCCTTTCCCTTCCTCTCTGAAATCAATAAAAATATATTTAAAAAAAGACATTCCTGCCTTTGTTGCCCAATCTGCTCTTCCTTCTGAGGAGGGAAGGGTCCCCAACAAGAAAGGCCCATGAGGGGGGCAGTGCCAGGGGCTCTGGTGAGCAGCCCACAGAGCCGTGCTCAGGGGTTTCCAGGCAGCCAGCCAGCACCCAGCCTCCAGCCCTCCCCTCCCTTCCAGGCGACTCCGCTCATGGAGGAGGAGAATCCTCTGCCTGGGTTGGAGCTGCACCCCACCTACCGCTGCCCCCCCGTCCCACGCTGCTCCTTCAGGGTCCGTCTCTCTGAGCACCGGCCACCTCTCTCCCACGACGAGTTCTTGTTCCCTTGTTGGGGCACTTGCCCGGCCAGTCTGACCGGCCTGTGGGCCCAGCCTTACTGGGTTATCACTGGTCCCTGTGATGTGGGCACCAGACTGTCGGTGGGCTGTGGATGTGGGAGTTCGTGTTCTGCCTCTGCTGCCTCCTCAGCACGTCCCCACAGTCCTGGCTCCAGGACTTACGACTCTGGAAGGGGTTTGGTGTGGCTCCGAGGTCACCCACCCCCTGGCATCCAGGGGCCCCTCCTGCACAGCTGCCGGGCCCAGACGGGGAGCCTGGTTGCTGACGTGAGCACGTGGCCAACTTGCATGCAACACATTTATATCCCATGTTCTTGGGTGTGTCTGTATTTTCTTTAATATATTTTATTGATTTTGTACAGAGAGGAAGGGAGAGGGGTAGAGAGTTAGAAACATCGATGAGAGAGAAACATTGATTAGCTGCCTCCTGCACACATGCCCTTGACCGGAATCGAACCCGGGACCCTTCAGTCCGCAGGCCGACGCTGTATCCACTGAGCTAAACCGGTTACGGCTGTATTTTCTTTATTTCTTATGATTCCGTTTCTAAGGCCCAGGCCTATCCGAGCACCTGGGGCGACTCCCTACCAGGGGAGGAGAGGTCCGCTTAGCTGTGTGCGGTCCTGGCTCCAGGCCCTCAAAGTGGACGATTGCGCCATGCCCGGGACGGGAGCAAGGTCAGGAGAAGACCGCTGTGCTGGGGGGAGCGCAGGGAGAAGTGGGGGGACTGGGCCTTCAGCGCCCGGTTCGGTGGTCACGGTGCGGAGGTTGCTCTGCGGGCGGGAACACAGCTGAGACGCCACGCGGGATGTGTCCGGAGGCTTTCCTAGCCCGGGCTGGTCGGGGCTCCCCCACACCGGCGGGCGGCACCTGCCGGGGGCCCC